AGCCTTGGATGACAACTGGCCTACTGCAGAAAGAAATGGCAACCTACTGCGGGAAAAATCTGCCTTATCAGTCATGTATTGAAAGATACATGATCGCCTAAGCGTGTATCACGCATGTCACATAACTGACTGCTGTTTAATAGTCCTCAAGGGATGTTGTTTCTGTTATCTGCTACAGTTCTTTGTGATTCTGTAGTGCCAGTCAACAAACTACGCCAGTTAAGTTATTAGCATAGAATTTAAATTATGCATATAATATCGCGCTTTTTTTTTTTTTTCGTCACGCGCGAACTGCTATTCTATTTTTGGTAACGCCTGTATTTTCAGGCCCGTCATCAAGAAGATTTAGTGGACGCACACCCGCCTTCAAAAAAAATAACTGCTTCCTCTTCCCGTGAAAATGATATGCGAACTAATTTTAGTTTGCAAATTCTTACTCGTGTCCACCCTGGCTAAAGGGCCAGACACCCACTCGAAACACCTTGGCGACAGACTTGTGTATTTTCCTTCTCAACTGTAGAGTTTATATAATTTATATTTTTATTTTTAAATACTAAATTCACAAAGTGATTAATGAAAAACTCATGCACGTACTCAAACAGAAGTGCTTTCTTCGAAAAAAAGCCAACGCTAGTCAGAAACAAACTTATAGGCAAACATATAAGCAAACCAGTGGTTAGTGGAACGCACTGAAAGGCAGTGATGGTGGCGGCCTATTTTCAGGAAGATTGATTGATTTGATTTGATTTTTACGTCTTATCAACCCTTTTGTTTGTTATTTAAAGCCGACATATATTTTGGATCATAAGAATAATTCCTGCTTTTACGAGTGAATATTACATCAACAATTTTTTAATGAATTACAATGATTTTTCCAGCTACAATTCCTACTATTTAAGCCTTAGCTGGGGGGGAAGGGAGATTGATTCATAGCTTTCTCCAAAAGCATTTGCGCACAAGTCCATCAAACGAACCTGATTGGAATTCAAACTCGGCTCTCCGATTTCTCATTCCCATTACCACCATCCTTTTCTGAGAAAGAAGGACAAAATGTCTCTATGGACGACAACGACGACATCGAAGATGACGAAACATCTATTACGCTGATAACATTGACGAAATCGTCAGGGCGCCGACATTTAATATGGACAAAAGTCAAGCAAACTAAAATGTGCTTCATATCAATGTAAATAATTAAAAAAAAAAACAAATTCACTGTTTGATGAGGGATTTTGAATTATTCATCACACATTAGTTTGTTCGAACCATATATATATAACCTACTTTCGGCCATACTGTTCCAAATATAGTGACGTACGTTGAAGAAAAATGTCTTTGTTTTTCATGTATAATACGCACCCTAATTTGGTAAACCTAGGGTAAAACGATTTTTATACATGAATAATTATAGAAAGAGAAATTCATTTTGCTAACCAAATAATTTCAATTCCTGACAAACCTATTCCGCACACAGAAATTTTATTGCTTATTGACAAACTCCTTGGACAAAACAAGTGACATTTTAAAATATATAATAAGCTAATTTTCTCCATCATAATAACAGCCAATTCATTAGACTGCTTCGATAGTTAAACCTAAACGTTCTAGTGTTTATTTTATTGTTTATTCTTGTTAAAAATACATTTTAGTTAATTGATGAAAATGGTTTTTTCACTTAACCAACCTAGCCGGTAGTTCCTAGTAATACGTGACCAGAGACCAATAATAAGTATATATCTAGTTTCTTGAGGCCCGCCTCTGATGAAGTAATTTCTCATTACACTAACATTTCATCCCTACTAAAATCACTAAAACTCAAGGGGTTACTAAGTGTGAAAGTATATGAGAAAAAGAAAAACATTAAGACTTTGATTGATTTGTCTGTTTAACGACATATCAACTCCTTATGGGTCATTTAATGCCGAAGTGTAATTTACTTGGGAGTTTTGAAGTAATAAAATATGATATATGTTATTCTGCTTTCACAGTTGAATACATGGTAGAGTATACTCAGTTTTTGTAAATATTTATGTTTGCGTGGACACGATTACTGGAGGCGGTGATGTGTGTTTTATGCTGTAGTCTTGGTGAAGTTATATTTTGGGATATAGTTTTATTTAAGAAATTCTAGGATATATGGATTAATGTCAAGTTATTTTATGTTGGTTGTTTGGTAGTATTTTAAACTGATTTGGGTGAAGTCGATACAATTTGTTAGTATGTGCGTATTGGTGATAATGTTACTATAAAAATGTATTGTTGGTAATTTTTTTATATAAAAATTTATTGTTGGCATTTTTACTATAAAAATGTATTGTTGGTAATTTTTTTATATAAAAATTTATTGTTGGTAATTTTTTTATATAAAAATTTATTGTTAGCATTTTTACTATAAAAATGTATAGTTGGTAATTTTTTTATATAAAAATTTATTGTTGGTATTTTTACTATAAAAATGTATAGTTGGTAATTTTTTATATAAAAATTTATTGTTGGTATTTTACTATAAAAATGTATTGTTGGTAATTTTTTTATATAAAAATTTATTGTTGGTATTTTTACTATAAAAATGTATTGTTGGTAATTTTTTTATATAAAAATTTATTGTTGGTATTTTTACTATAAAAATGTATTGTTGGTAATTTTTTATATAAAAATTTATTGTTGGTAATTTTTTATATAAAAATTTATTGTTGGTATTTTTACTATAAAATGTATAGTTGGTAATTTTTTATAAAAATTTATTGTTGGTATTTTACTATAAAATGTATAGTTGGTAATTTTTTATATAAAATTTATTGTTGGTATTTTTACTATAAAAATGTATTGTTGGTAATTTTTTTATATAAAAATTTATTGTTGGTATTTTTACTATAAAAATGTATTTTTATACTTTCATAGTGTTTTGTTTTTGTTTAGAGGGTCACTATTTTCCTATAGTTGGGACCCCCTAACAGGTGCTACCAGGGTGGAGCTTGGAACAACAGCAATTAAGTGGTGGTTCCCAACCCTTCAAATCCTCCAATTTCCTGATCAGAAGCCTTGCTACCGGATGGAGTTTATCGTGATACCGAAGACTACATTATTAAGGAGAGATAACCGTGAAAAAACAGGAATTAAAAATACAGAAGATAACGATTGAAATTGCATTTAAATTTTTGAAGATGAAAACTGACTGGGAATCAAGAAGCCGGAAGAAAGTTAGGCTAGCGAGAAATGGCGAGAAGAAACTATTAACATAGAACTTAACGTCAGTCAGTTATGTGACGAGGCAGATTTATTTTCCCGCAGTAGGTTGCCATTTCTTTCTCCGGTAGACCAATTGTCATCCAAAGCTATGTTGTCATACTGCTATTTACCTATATCTGGGGGGAGGAGAAGACTATTCATACCTATTATTAGCACGTAAGTGAATGCAGTGGATTCGACTGGAATTCGAACTCGGCTCTCTGATTTCTCAATCCAAGCCGCTATCCATTACTCCATCGTAAGCTTAGTAAATAATTTTTATTAAGGGTAAAAACCAGACAAAGTAATGGTTGACGGGCTTCTCTCATAGACTATTACCAATCACAAATGTTATCCTTGCTATGCTCCATATATCTGTAGCCTTGTGTCAGACTAATCTAAGTGTAGTGGAGATGATTTGCAGTGGAATTAAAAAGTTCGTCCCAAAGATAATTATTGTAGTGCTGAGTTCGATCCTCACTGGGGGATCCAGTGTTATGCTAAAATAAACCAAAGACGGCTTGCCGTGCCACAGTGGTTAGCAATATAGGCTTAATATTGTGATGATGAACAAGACTAAATTATTTTCTTCTACCAGCGTTCGCCTAATACAAGTCCGAAGAGCTACTCAAGATAGATGGGCGCTGAATGAAGTGTGCGATATGAATGTAAGATATGGAAAAAGAAAGTGAATTTTGTGAGGATATGGAAGATAGATAACGATTGAGCTTAGACTTGAAGAGTTTGGAAGCATCCACGCAGGAGTCTGTTTCACAGAATAGAAGACGTTTTCTAAATGGAACATCCTTCTTAGCCATAGAAAACGGAAGGAATGAGGATGATACACTTCTGTGGATGTGGTAAAACGGATTTTGGATCTAAAGGTCTGAACTGATTACACTAAAGAATGGAGATGTCTGAACATTTTTCTGAGGGTGAGCGTTTGTGTAGCGACAGACTTGTGACTTTACGACTGTAGGAAAGGAGCTGTAGGGTGGAAAATAAGCTATCACCCACAAGGTAGAGTAAACGTTTGTGAGTAGGTTGGTTGGTTTTGTTTAGCGGCATATCAACCTCTATGAGTTATTTAATGCCGAAATCTAAATATTTTGAAGAACAATTATATGGCTTCAACTACAGATAAAATATATTGTTGGTAAATGTGAAATAAAATGTATTGTTGGTAAATGTGAAATAAAATGTATTGTTGGTAATTCCACCATAAAATGTATTACTGGTAAGTTTACTATAAAAATGTATTGTTTAAACCTTCATAGTGTTTTGTTTCTGCTTGGGGGTTAACTATTTGCACATAGCTGGGACTGACAAGTGCCGCCAACCCAGGCCAGCGTGGGCCTGGAACAAAAGAAGTTAAGAGGTGGTTCCATGATCAGAAGCATTGATGCTAGATGTAGTTTATCGTCATGCCCAGGACCTAAAACGTTTGTAAATTCTATCAAAACTGGAAAGTGAGGATTTACCAGCTTAAACTGACCAACTGATTGATTGATTCGTTTTTTTTATAGATTTTCAAACTTTTGAAGTTTATTTAAAGCCAGAAAATATTTTTGGACTGTAAGAATTTTTGCAGATAATAATGATTTTACTGATAGAGGTTCTACTCTTTAATCCACAGCTGAGGGAGGAATAGGTAGATTCATAACTTTACCAAGAGTATTTGCGCGTAAGTGAATATAACGAACCCGACTGGAATTGGAACTCCGCTCTCGATTCCGAGTCGTTATCCATTACACAAGACGCACATCCAACCTAACAACACCTGGTATTCCCAAGCGCTCACCCATCTAGGTACTGACCAGGCTCGGCGTTGCTTAACTTTGGTAATCGTATGAGAACTGGTACTTCAACGTGATATGGACTGGACGTAATTAATTTCTACTCGCACATCTTTTTTTTTCTTTTTTTTTAAGCGTTTCACCCCAAGCAAGGCGGAAAGCCACTAGGATGCAAGGGGTTACAGGAAATAGCAAGATCAGATAGGAGTGATATAAGGAAGGATGAGGGTAGTGGATAGATTAAGGCGACTGGAGATGTCGATTGACATTACATTTGAATAGCTGGAGATTATAGCTCACAGGGAAACAGGAGAAGGGAAGGGAGTTCCACAGGCGAGAGGTGCAAGACATGAAGCTATTAGAGTAGAAGAGACGGCTACATTTAGGAGTTTCGACAGTGAAGGGGTGAGAGTGGGAAGCCAGCCTCGTAGGGCGCTGGAACTCATGACGTCTGGGAACCAGCGAATGCGGCTCCTCGGAGCAATTTCCATGAAAGTATTTGTAGAACAGACAGAGGGAGGCGACGGCGCGTCTGTAAGAAAGTGACTGTAGACGAGACGTCAGGGCAGGGCCAACCATATTGCATATCCGCCTCTGGAGCCTATCAAGAACCCCGAGGCAAACAGAAGGGGCGCCAGACCATATATGGCAGCAATACTCCATGCAAGGGCGAATTGTGGATTTGTATATCTGGAGGATCGACTCAGGGGGGAAAAACTTCCTAACGCGGTTGGAGGGAGCCAACTTTCCTCGCAGTGGACGAGGCAATTGACTCGATGTATTTATTCCATCTCAGGTCAGCAGTCAACGTGAGACCGAGAAGCCGCAGAGAGTCGCTCTCGAGAAGTTGAGCGTCAGACATTCTAATGGAGGGAAGGGAAGGCTCTCTGTGGTGATTAATAGAGAGCAGTTTTGTCTTCGAAGCGTTGAAGTTGACCAGCCAATTCATGCCCCAATTCACAATCGATTGAAGGTCCTTTTCGAGACGCACGGCAAGGTGAGTTTTGTCAGCGAGACTAGATTTGTTTTTGAGGCAGGAATAAATTGTGGTGTCATCCGCGTAGATGCCCACTTGGGAAGCTATGGCGTCAGGAAGGTCATTTATGTAGATAAGGAATAGAGTGGGGCCTAGGATGGAGCCTTGAGGGACACCTGCGTTCGTGGGATAGGAACTGGAGGAGAATCCGTTGAGAACGACCTTCAATTCACGGTTTGACAGGAATGATTGTATTAGGTTATATAATCGACCCGTAATGCCATAACCCTGGAGCTTGCGCAGAAGGCCGGCATGCCAAACCCTATCAAATGCTTTGGAGATGTCTAGTGCCACGGCTCGGGCTTCCCCATTATTTTGGAGAGCTCGGTAGACTGTTTCAGTGATAGCTGTGAGCACATCTATGCTTACTAGTATTCCCAAGTGATCAACCATCTAGTTACTGACCGCGCTTGACGTTGCTTAACTTCGGTGATCGAACGAACATAGGTGTTTCAACGCGCTATGGCCGTAAGCCAGCTTTTTACTCAAAGGTAAATGCTCGATAAAAGCAATTGTGAAAGAGCTGGTCGTGTAGATTCTTACTACTGTGTTCGATCCTCACTGTGTTCCACATTTGTGACCTTATTGCAGACTGAAGTAAGCTCAAAAAATGAGTGTCTATCTGTTGGTATTGTGTACTGCGTTTTTACTCCTTATAAAAAAAAGTGCAAATCAACTTGACTTTGGAGACCAAACTATTACAGATATAGATATATAAAAATAATAAAAAAAAGCTGTAAGTGTTAGGTGGAAATGCAAACTTCATCTTTTTACTTTGACACCGGATGCTGTTGCTTGACAACGAAATGTAAACATCATTCCAGACACAACCAATCGATAATCCATCAAAATATTGATCAGACGTGACAAAACCATAAAAGAAAGAAAGAAGTAAATGCTTGGTCGGTTGCTCTGTAGGTGGGCTTTTTTATCTTTTTTTTTTTTCTTTTCGTTCTTTTTTTCTTGCTATATTTCTTTGTTTTCTCTTGATTTCTTTTTTTATAAGTAACACTCATGAGAAAAAAAACTCACAGGCCGCGAATTTATACTTACTTAATATTTACTTCCATGAAAATACACAGCATTATAACATATTTGAAGTGGTCACTGACAATAAAATATCATGATATTTTATAGCATTGATTTCCTTTCTTTTCTTTTTTTTTTTAATTCTGAAGAAAAATACAACCACTTCTCAGTTAACGACTTACCTGATTAACAACTCACTGGCATAGGACCAGCTATAAAATCCGATATAATAACAATTTTTTCAAAAAGCCAACCAATCGGTATTGTACATCGTACGAAGACAGATCGTCATTGTTTTCTCTTTCTTCAAAATGAGTTAAAATAAATAAAATGATTAAATAAAGTGCTTTGTGGAACCGACTCCTAAGAAGATGATTCTCCGATCTCTATACTCTTAACCCGTTCAAGTCTAAGGTTAACCGTTATCTTCCCCACATATCCCCATAAAATGTTCTTTAACCCTCTACCTCGTGTTGATCATTATTGTAAAAAAAATTTAAAAAAAGAAGAAAAATTCACTTTTACCGTACAAACCAAAGATACGGAATATAGAGCTATTTTTTTAATGTCTTTTTTAACTAATGTTCACTCAAGTCTCAAGAGGATTACTGTATGAACTTATATTAGCAGAGGAAAGGACAAGCGTTAGGTGTATACAACTGAAACAGACTTTAGAAGGAACTGGAAACCCAATCCTAAACAGGAAACAACGATGAACCTCTACTCCAGTTCAAAAGACCGGAGAGAAGTATGAACCGGACAATAAGCGAACCTATCTATTCCTATTGGTAGAAAAGAGAAAAAATAAATTAAATTAAATAAACAGTGGTTAAAATTTCAGAGTTCAGGACGCAGACTTTAGGAGTACAAAGCTGAAGCAGACTTACTACATCTACTATTCAGTACACCGGTGTACTGTATAAACATTTAGAAATAAATAAGTAATGTTATATCTGGTGTAAAAGTGACATTAAAGCTATCTGAAGCTGGTTGACACAAACCCGTTCCGTCCTGGGTAAGATGATAAACCGCGTCCTGGGTAAGATGATAAACATCCGCGTCCTGGGTAAGATGATAAACTACATCCGCGTCCTGAGTAAGACGATAAACTAGGTTCGACAACAAGGCCTCTTGTCAGGAGATTTTGAGGGGCCTGGAACCACCTCTTAATTGCTGGTGTTCAGAGGTCCACCCTGACCAGAGGTGGTAGCACCTGTTAGGGTCCCAGCTATGGGCAAATAGTTAACCCTCAAACTGGAGTCAAAACACTATGAAATTGTAAAAATAGGTTTTAGTACCAGAAATACTTTGTAAAAAAATTATTACCAGCAATACAATTTTAAAAAAAAATATTACCAGTTATATATTTTTGAATAACAAATATTACCAGCGAAGGAAAATTATTACCAGAAATAAATTTTTGGAAAAAATATTACCAACAATGAAAATTTGGTCGGCATTAAATAACCCATTGAGGTTGATATTCCGTAAACCAAACCAAACCCGTTACATTGTGTGAAATAGTTGTCAGGTACAACTTCTCATTTGACAACTATCTCGTTTAATGACCAGTCCTTTGTCAAGATACCCGGTTGTTAAATGAGTAGTTGTATAGTATATTGTCGATGGCTTCGAGATAGGGAACGTGGTAATCAGTAAGGATTCTATTTCTATTTAAACAGCCATAATTATTGACTCAGATATATATCTGTATGAAGAAAACTATGGAAAAACAAAAATCCGAATATGCAAGAATGCTGTTTTAATGTTGTTTCAATGTCGACGTCAGACATTTCGGTCTAGTAGACCTTCTTCAGGATATAGTTATTAAAACATAATTAAAATTAGACGATATTAGAAAAAAAAATAAAACCACTAAAACACAAGGGGTTACTGAGTGTGAAAAAATAAGAGGAAAAGAAAAAATCCAAAGGAGAGAGAACAATAAAAGAACAGGAAAAAAAAACTAAGTGTAACGATTGTATTGAAATTTTTGAAGATCAAAGTTGACTGGGAAGCAAAAAACAACTGAAAGAGAGTTCCGCAAGCGAGAAGTGCGAGAGAAGAAACTATTATCATAGAACTTATGGTTACATCTAGCTATCTGTGTTGTAAAATGATGAGATCTAGCTAGCAATCTAGTACTGCGCTTAAATTCGTAAACTCTAGGTTCCAAAGAGGAAAGCTCATCAGAACCATTACTATGAAAAGATTTGTAGAAAAGGCACAAGAAAGCTACATTACACTGGTGGAAAAGTGACTGAAGCCGTGATGCCAGGTTGGGACCAATAACAATGCAGATTCTTTTATCAGGAATCTCTAAACATATAGCAGAATCTATGTTACGGATGTAGAAAGTAACTTGCATTTATATGTATATTTGGGCTCGAGGTGGTATAAAAAGATTGTTATATTCTAATTAAAGTAAAAAAAAAAAAAGAACAATGAAATAATAAATGAACCGTACAAGAATGGATCAATAATTAGATAGAGAAGAATATAAAGGATAACAGAAAAAGAAATATAATTTGCTCTACGCCGCCGTCTAATTTGACAGCAAAAAATAAGCTCCAACGGTTCATGCCTTTACAGCTAAGACACGTCATGTCATGTACGCACGATCAACTCATTCACGTTCCCTTCATATTCCATTGGTAAAGAAGAAGCCCCATTCAGACAGTTTCTTCCTCAGAATTGTTACTTTGTGGGAGAGACCTCAAAGAAGATGCTTCCACGATCACTACGATCTTACCTTATAGGATAGTAGTGGAAATTTTGTTCGTTCTTATGATGTGCCTATGACATGTCGACTCTGTCCTCTGTCCTCTGTCCTCTTCGCTCTTTAACATCTTCCTTGAACGCATCATGAGTGACACTTTTGAGGGACAAGGCACGGTCAGCATCGGATGTCGCATCATTACCATTGCAAAGGACATAGATGACCGAACTGGCGAAGAATGAGTCTAGTGAAGAACCGGAACGTTAATATCTTCTCGATATGACATGGAGATTAACACTGAAAAATACTCATGACGAACAATGGGAAAAGATAAAAGACGGTGCTCAGGAACAGACGGTGAGACAATTCAAATATCTTAGCTCGATTATCAGCGAAAAAGGGCTCCGAAATAAAAAAAAAAATTAAAAAAATAATTTCACGAGCAGCACAAACAATGGTAACTGTCGCAAAACTAAGAACCATCTGGAAAAAAAAAGAAAATTTGTTTTAAATCAAATATCAGACTGCTGGGTGCATTGGGCTTTTCAACGAATCTTGGACATTTGTAGCAGAATTATAACGAAGAATGCAAGCTTTAGAAATGAGATGTTACAGAACCATCTTAAGCATCACTTACGTAAACCGCATCACAAATGACATAGTGCGAGACATCATTAGAAAAAGCAAGTCCATTGGAAGACATCATATCCACCCTCAAGCAGAACAAGTCGAAATGGTATAGGTACATCATAAGAACCAATAAAATTTCCACTACTATCCTATAAGGTACCACTTTTGGCTAAAGAAGGAGTAGACAGGGGAGATAATTAGCTGACAATGTCACTGAGGAGACTGTGAGATTATTGAGACTCGACCGAGACATATGAAGGGAGCTGATCAAGTGATTAGCTCCGTAGCGACCCTACGACCACACCTAGTTATGGGACTAATGATGATGATAATGATGATGATGATGACGATTCGTCAAAATTCCAGTAAAATGAATAAAGAAACAAAACTTACATTCTATGTTGACAATAATCTGCTTGAAAATTGAAATATGTATCGGAAAAAAATTAAATTTGATATCCTACTTAGACAAGTATATATATATATATATATATATATATATATATATATATATATACTACTCTTCAAAAGTTTGAGGCCACCCCTGGTAATTTTTAAAATTGGCCGCAAAAGTAGTTGTTTTCTACTTTAAATAAGAGAAAATTACAATACTTGGTTTAAAAAAAAAGTGAGACGTGATTTTTTATTAGTAAGAAAAAACATAATTTTATAACTTTGCTCTTGTCAAAATATCCACCTTTAGCCTTGATTACTGCAGCACAAATTTTTGGCATTCGTTGCAAAAGTTTCTAAAAGTATAAGTTTGATGATTAATTCCATTCTTTTTTCAATGACTCTAAGAGCTCTTTTTCACTCTTCTGTCAAGTTATACACTGCGTGCTAAATTATTATCGAGATAACTTTTTTCTAATATTTCAAAAACCGTCGAATCAATTTCCACACAATGTTGGCAATACTGACCTGCGCAATCACTGAAATTTTCGTACTGATCTGCGCAATGTAAACAAACTGGCGCCATATTTGTTATCAGCACGGTGATTTGAGCGTGTCAAATTATTAGAAAAGTGTACGAATTTAGTGAAAAGATGGGCCGTAAAAGCAGTTTAAATGATGCTGAAAAGAAAACTATCACCTCAGAACTCTCAAAAGGTAAATCTACCCTATAAATTTCTAAAATGATAGGGAGGTGTCATCAAACAGTGAAAAAGTTCACCGCCGACTATACGCAAGTACGCAAAAGGGCAGATAAAGGCGAGCCGAGGGTTATTTCACGTCGTCTCATGTCACGACTTAAACGAGAGGCCACGAATAACCCTGGACTTACCAGTCAAGAGCTTTTCAGTCGCATTGGGGATCCTACTGTGCCTAAAAGTACTTGGTGTTGGTATCTGAGGGAAATAGCAACAACAGTCAAACCTGTATCGAAGCCTCCGTTGACGAGAAATCACATTCAAAATTGATTGAAATGGGCCGAGGACAATATGAAGATTGACTTCTCTAAAGTTTTGTTCACAGACTAAACTCGAGCAACACTTGATGGGCCTGATAGATGGTGCAAAGGCTGGGTAATGAACGGACAGAATCACCATCAGCGTTTGAGACACCAACAAGGCGGTGGAGGCATAATGATCTGGGGTGGTATTATTGGAAAAAAATTAGTGGGCCCATGGAGAGTACCAGATGGCGTCAAAATGAATGCTGATGCATACATAGCATTTATGAAGGAGCATCTTGAACCGTGGATGAAAAGGTAAAGAGTTGCCTTCAGAAGGGCCATTGTTTTTATGCAAGATAATGCTCCCTCACATGCTGCTCACAGGACTACTGAATATTTGAAACAGTTAGGCTTTGATGGACCTCGAAATATGAAGTGGCGAGCAAATTCTCCGGATTTGAACCCAATCGAAAACCTTTGAAGCATCATGAAGCGAAGACTGTACGCCAACGGACGACAATTCAGGAGCAACGCTGAGTTGTGGGAAGCAATTCTTGACATATCTCGCAGCATTACAGTAGATGGCATCCTACAATTAACAAATTCTATGGATCGTCGACTTCTTCAAGTAATTTCAAAATAGGGAAAGCACATTCCCTATTAATTTTTTTAAAACTGTGCCTTTGTTTGTATCTGTTATTATTTGCTTGATTATCTTATTTATTAGCTTCTTTTGATCATAGACATTCACGTGCAACATTAATAAACGTTTCGTTTGCTCAATTCTGGGAATTTTACTAAACCTTTATAATAATTTGGCACGCTCAAATCACCGTGCTGATAACAAATATGGCGCCAGTTTGTTTACATTGCGCAGATCAGTACGAAAATTTCAGTGATTGCGCAGGTTAGTGTTGCCAACATTGTGTGAAAATTTTGTGTGAATTGATTCGACGGTTTTTGAAATATTAGAAAAAAGTTATTACGATAATAATTTAGCACGCAGTGTGTATATATATGTGTGTGTGTGTGTGTCGAGAAAGTTAATTCTGTCGAGTACTGTGGGGAGAAAGCACGAATTTGAAACTGTGACTATTACTGCTAATAACGCAAGACTCTCCCAACGGATTGAGTCCTCTAAGTCACTGGCGTATTTATGAAGAAAAAAAATACGCAAACATTTGCCTTTCTCTCTGCCGGGTGCCGATAGCCTAGGGGTTAGAATCTTCGATTGATACCAAATCGGTTGGGTGTCGGTCCCGGCTTGAAGCGATCGAATGTCTAGCCGCACTGATGAGTTATGATCTGTCTGTGGATTACGATAGATAGATAGATAGATAGATAGATAGATAGATAGATAGATAGATAGATAGATAGGAGTATTAGTTCTTGTAGCGATTGTGTACATTACAGCAACATTTATTAATTACTCATAAATGGATGAACTCTTTAACCCATAAACGACGGCGGATATCCTGAAGTGACGTTTTGTTTGAAATTAACAATCATCAATTAATGGTTTAAACTTTCCTCAATAATGCTGATATCATTCATTCATGATTTGGGTCTAAATAATTAATTGGCAACAGTAGGTTTCAGGACTATTTACTAGGCTTTGTAATGTTACGTGATTTCCTTGGGTATTTGCCTGCAAATAAAGCCGGAAGAACGCACCAAAAACAAAGCTATGTTTGCGTGCATACTTCTAGAAAAGAACAGAGGCTAAAAATGGTCACAACTGGACACAAAGAACGCACAACTCCATTGAGCTTGGAATATTTCAAGCTGTTAAACAATATTAAATTTAGAAACATTACTTTTGTTTTATTCCTACTTTTTTCTTTAATTTTATAATCTAAAAGTGTTAAAATATTATTTTCATAGTTTTTTATATATCATAACCATGAAAAGAAGCATAAAAATACCATCAAAATACCCTTTAAAAATGAATGTTCTTGCTTTTATCCATACTTCAATGAATAGGTCTGAGTGCTTAAAATGTTCGCTTTCTGACTATGAAACCCAGGTTCGAATCTCACCATGGTCCATTTATCAGGAAAGTGAGTTCTTATCATTCTGCGGGGAGGCGATCCCAGATTTCGGTACATTTGGGAAGTGCTTGTAAATCATACCACGGATTGACTCAAGCCTTGTGAGTGAAATTGGGTAGACAGAATTCTTTGGGGATCCGTCGATGATTGTCCTAGCACGAAGTCACAAGTCAGCGTGACCGAGGTTTTGATCGTGCTGGCATTAGACTGTGGTTTACGCTAGATAACGTGCTCTCTCCCAAAAACTGTAACTAATTAATTGCAGTACAAATCAAAGGTGGGTTCTGTGGATATTTAACAAACACAAATGTACCTGAGCATCCGTCTGCAACAGGGATTGGCAAGCCGTCCTAGTAAGACGCGTATCCTCGGATACGAGTGGCCACCCATTATCATACGATTTAGAAAATATTAAATTTAGGAACACGACATTCATCTTATTTCCGTTCTTTATTCTTATAATCTAAAATGATTAAAATATTATTTTTATAGTTTTTGTATATATTATAAAATGGACTAAGTCCCACAATTATTTTAATATATTTTCTGCTTCTACGTTATTTTTTATAGATACAATTATTTAAGGAAATGCTCTGTTTATAACAACATTTAACGGCCTGAATATCCAAAGAATTTCATAGAAAATATGTGTCCTATGACAGGAATCGAACCTACACAGAACTGCCATAAAGCCTGAAGTGTTATACTATTTATTTACAGAGGAAGCGTAAAACAAAAATTAAAATTAAAAACAGTAATTCGACCTTGCTAACCAGACGTTTCCTCTGTTAAATGGTATAGCATGTCAGGTTATAAGACGGTTCCATGTAGGTTCGATTCCTGTCGAAGGATGCATATTTTCTATTAAATTTTTCGTCCGATAAATGTTGTTAATATTGTTTATTATAAACGGAGCATTTATTTAAATATGTGTACCTATAAAAATAACGTATAAACAGAGAATATATTAAAATAATTGACGGACTTAATCCATTTTATGTCATTTGCTTACGTTAAAATACGTTTCGAGCAGATATAAGCGTTCAGGAAGAATCATGGGAAATTTATAGTTAAAAACAGTAATTCGACCTTGCTAACCAGATGCTTCTTCTGTAGCTAAAGGCTATATGACGGTTCCGTAAAAAACAAATCAATCATAATACTATATTCACTTTGTGGACCTAAAATATCTCCCCATGACGCTATATACAATTTCAATCTCTATCTATAAAAGGCAGTGTGTGTGTGTGTGTGTGTGTGTGTGTGTGTGTGTGTGTGTGTGTAACGAATGCACGGCCGCAATTTTCGATGGATTTGCACCAAAATTTACATGCACATGCTCCAAGTTAGTGGGTAGGCCAAGACCGACTTTGCATTTCCCAACTCCCATCGATAGTGGAAATAATCGATTTTTTCATGCTTCCACGGCAGTTTTCATGTAGTTTGCGGCCATTTTGTACTGGCCAGAGTGAGAGCCAATAGCTGGCTGCCACGAATAGGCAGGAAGATTCTATTGGCCAGCGTGAGAGCCAACAGCTGACTGACACGTATGTTAACTAGCATGCTAGCATACAAAAAAATCGATAGCTGCATTCGTCACAAGTGGGAAAATTTAAATCTGCATGACACTTTACTCCAATTGGCTCATTCGCTTGCTTAAACTCAACGTTGATTCTGATTCCGCAGAACGGGGTTGGATGTGAAAAAGTATTTGTTGTTAACATTCTTTTTTCATTCGGTTTTTCCAGTTACGTGTCCTTTTTTAAAGCTGATCGTTTTGTGTTCATTTTGTTTAGTTCTTTTTTCGTAACAGATTTAATGTTTAATATAGAGCTTAGAAAAATTTCGCAGTGTGAGATAGGCAAGAAGTAAGGCATGTAGCAACATCAACACAGCAAAGGGCACTCCTTTAAAGGCAAGGAAGGGCAAAAATATTTTAAGTCAAGTGATAGCGATTGCTGTATGAGTCGTACGATTTTTGAATCAAGCACGGGCAACGTCGGGCCATGCTGCTAGTCATTAATAAACCAATTAATTATAATGCGAAGGAAAAATTACAAATAAAAGTTGAGGGTTAGTATGGGACTCTTTCCCCTCGCTTTTCTACTGTTATCTGGTTGACGATATACTAGATTTCTTTTCTTTTTTTTTTTTTTTTTGTTGATTTCTACGCTTATCTCATTAATAATGAATAAACAATATTTTATTGATTAAATATGTATATATCACCATTATTCATTTTATATCAATTTACAAAGTGAGGCACACATGCCGATGTAGGGACTGAAGAAAAGGTTGGTTCTGTATTGATATTCCACACTTAGCGTAGTGATTTTAGCATGTAACATTGTTCAATAGAGCCAAATAACGCATCCATCATTCATATTCTTCCTCAGTCTTTTTTGTCTCTTAGGACTTGTTTACTTGTCGGTCTTGTTAGAGTTGATTAGTTTTCCACTCTACAGCCTCTTTCTCCACTGACGCAAATTTACAGGCCTATCGCTACTCTATCGTTATTTCCATGGCGAATATTTGGACGAGTTCCATTTTTTAGCTCCACCAGCTTTACAGCAGACTGACGTTGAAACACTGGTTCCCGTATGATCACCGAAGTTAAGCAACGTCGAGTTTGGTCAGTACCTAGATGGGTAATCACTTGGGAATACTGATGCCGTAATCTTTGATGTGCGGGTGGTGTAATGGATAACGGCTCTGAACTGTTAATCGGAGGACCGAGTTCCAATTCCATTTAGTTTTGTTATATTCATTTACGCGCAAATACCCTTGAGAAAGGTATGGATCCATCTCCCCATACAGCTTTGAGTTAATTAGTATGACTTGTACCACTAAATCATTCTTATCTCTAAAAAAAAATTCTTAGAATCTAAAATTATTTTCTGGCTTTAAATAACCTGTAATGTGTTGATAAGCCGTAGAAAAAGAATGAATCAATCGATCAATCTTTACAGGTAAAACTTACAATGACCGTCCACAGAATCGAATCACTCTTATTTCCTCCCTATAATGTTCAAATGAGATTCACTCTTTAGTTGCTCCAGTTCAGACCTTTACAGTTGAAACTCACTAGGCTACATTCATGAAGTAGAATCACACTCATTTCTCCGCATTCAATTTTTTTAAAGAGGAAGTGTCATTTAGAGAGCTTTTCCTAAGATCTGCTACTCTGTGGAACAAACTCCCATGTGGATACTTTCCAGAACAATATAATCTCTTCAAATGAAAAATCAACCATTATCTATCCTCCTTATTCCCATAATCTTTTTCCTTTCTCTTATATAACTCATCTCATTAAGTAACCCTTGAGTAATTTTAGCTTCTTATTTGGGAGGAATTTTAGTATAAAAAGAAGTCACAATCATAATCATAAAAAAAGGTGCTAAAAATTATCGAGTTGCTTAAGAAGCCCTTCCCTTACAAAGGAAGAATTTTAGTCATTTGGTAAAGATTTTGGGAAATAGTGTTACGGTTTTTTGGGTACATAGCACATAACTAGTGAGCGAGTCAGAATGACTTATTTCTCTTTATAGTCGACCAATAGAAGGTTGACCAATCAGAAGCCGCCCAACACTGTACTCATCGTGTATAAAGGCGGCCATCTTGTTTCCTCCTACCGGAAGGACCAAAGGCGACCAGGAGAAGGATGAACTACACTCTGCTGTAATATCCACTGCGAACCTCCACTACGCTTTCCTACTGTCTCCGAAATATTCACTGCCAACCTCTGGATTCTATACTCGAGGACGACCGTCATGAAAATGTCTAACAAATAGGTCAGGCTGAGAACTATTCAGCACCACCTGTTCCCCCACCCCCGTGCAAATAAATGATGATGGGATTAGGGAAAGCCCAATAATAAAGGAAAAAAATAAAATCAAATAGTATGAGATCCTCTTTTTCCTCTTATGCAAAGACAGTTGCTAGCTCACCTGTCTGACTCTTTTTGCCAGAAACAATCAAGGACTTCCTCTAACAAAATGGCGACGGACATTGCAAATAGGAAAAGAGATTTAATAAAGTGGTTTCCAGGGCAGACAAATCCGCTTAAGAAAGCGGATGTGTATATTATGACTGTAAGCAGCACTTATCAGGAAATAAATTCATTGATGTATATCCGCACTTCAGTATATTAACATCACACCACGAGGCGGTGCTGAAAATTTATTGGCCCAACCCACTTCCCATAATCTGATTAAACATCAGATTTCATTATGGAATCCCTTCTAAGTTGGGTCGAGAATTTACAGCACACCTAGTAATAAATAAGCAACAATTCAAGCTATTCTGCAATTCTGTGTGAGATGTGAATAAACATCGAAATATTCAAATAGCGACAATCCTTTTTCTTGTTAGCTATTCCAATGAATAAGACGTTTGTCGTTTGCAGATAAGACCATACATCACGTTTTAAAAATTGACTGGTAGACAGGTTTGTTTTATGCTGCCAATACCATATTTTAAAATATACTGGAAAAGTTTTTTTTTAATTGAAAAAATATATATTTTTTTTAAAATTAGTGTTAAATTGTTAGATCGGTTCTAATTATAGACATCCAGTTAATGTATTTGTGACGACAATGAATACTGTAATATACACGTGCAGGATCGTTGAAGGGTCACATCCCCTCGAATCTGATACAAACACACCCACCCACCCACACATACAAACACACGCCGTTTCTATTATACGAGCCTCGCCACTCTACTACATATGAATTGTCATAAGGTAGTATTCATATAAAATATAAATTTTATTGTAACTTAATTAGGTACAATAATGGATCATATGGAATATAGGTGAACAATTCAACTAGAAAAATTGAAAATAAATATAATGTAATTAAATAAAAATTAGAGACATGTCATAATAGATGATTCCATCTTAAATAATTAGAGACATGTTATAATAGATGATTCCATCTGAAATAAATCAACAATGTTTTGAGACAATTTTTAACATCAACTTGAGATTTTTCTTATTAAAAAGGTGAAGAATTTTAACATATTCAACATTCGGGATAAAAAAAAAAATAGTGAATTTTATACAGTGTTTTCCGAGACTTAGCATGACCAAAATAAATTCACACATTTGGACGGGAAAAAAAATAAAACAAAATGACGTCAAAATCCGAGAAAATTGTTTATCCTTTAATCGTCATTTGTGCTTTAATTTGTAACGTGGATAAATGTTGGTAGAAAAAAGAGCAAATGCTGATAAGATCGAGAGGGTTGCAGAGAACTGCCCAGGGCCCCCAATCAGGCTTCCCCTCCCGATAGGGGAATAAGCACCTGCCCTGTATACGTGCATAAGCCTATTTGTGTATAGTTGAATTGAATTGAATTGAGTTGAGTTGAATTGAGAAATTGAGTTGAATTTCTTTGTGAAAAACATGATTTTTTCATATAGCTCATGTATAATGCGACCCCAGAGCAATACTATTACCGTAGTCAAATATTGCAGTACTGGGTATCATACTGGATATATATTTATAGCAAATAAATGGTCTTCATTCTTTTTTCACAAATACTGACAGTAAACGTAAAGAATATAAAGAAAAATAAATATAAATAAACAGATAAAAACAGAATAAGGAACACAACTGAAACATTATACGATATACAGTGTAACCCGGATATAAAAGACCCGGATATAAGAGAAACCCGGATATAAGAGAAAACCGGATATAAGAAAACCCGGATATAAGAGACTTCTTCTCCGGTCCCGACAACTCTCTTATATCCGGGTTACACTGCATATATATATATATATATATATATATATATATATATAATATATATATATATATGAAGAAATATAGTTTAAGGTGTGCTACATTTATGGAATAAGGTCCTCAATATCAGAGATAGAGCGTGTGTAAATATAAAAGTGAACATTGAAGTCAACACTTACAGGCGATAGTATGTTTCATGCTAGACGCAATCGTCAGGCCACGAATGCTGTTATTTTTCTCGGTTATTTATATATACAAGTCAGTGGTGCATTGTGGTCAGCTATCATTACCTTCCCAGACCAAAATAAATTATTAAATAAAAGATCCGAGCTCATCTCAAAATGCAGACATTAAAAAAAATTTACTACGTTACTTAAAAATCGAAAACTGAAAAAAATAAAATAAAATAAAATAAAATGAATAAATAGATAAATAAACAAAATGACTATAAAATAAGTAAAATAAATTAACCCAAACAAATTACCAAATCACACCCATTAGAATAGACAAAATAGAATAAATAAATAAGAAATAAAAAACAAAATCAATATACCCAAATAATAAAGTAAATAATAAACAAATTAACAAACCATTATGACCAAAATATTAGTTAGACTATGAAAATCAAACCAAAAATCGGACGAAAAACATAGCTATAACTGTTATATAACGATAAAAAAGAAAAAATACTACGTTACTTAAAAATCGAAAACCGAAAAGAGTAAATAAAATATACAGTATAATAAATAATAAAGAACAAGCAAAATAAATTAATCTAAATTCCTCCAAATAAATAAACTAACAAACCGATCCCGATAAATTAACCGTTTAGAAAAAACAAATAAAGATAATCAATCCAAATAAATACATGAAGTAATAAACAAATTAAAAACTGCTCTCGCCAAAATAACAGTTAGAATAAACTACAACAATCAACCCCAAAACTGAATAAATAGTTTTAATTATCTTCCCAAACCAAAACAAAACTATTAGATAAGCGATATAAACAAATTTTTACTACGTTAATAAAAACGCTGATTAAAATAAAAATAAAAAATAAATATATAAGATAAGAAATAAAAATAATAAGTAAAAATAAATAATAAAAATAAATAATGTCAAGCAAAATAATTTAACCGAAATAAATAAATAAACAAACAAATAAACGACTTCCAGTAAAATAACCGCCAAAATAGTTTAGCCAAAATGCACCACTGACCCGTATATATAAATAGCCGAGAAAAATAACAGCACTCGTGGCCTGACGATTGTGTCTAGTATGAAACAGACTGTCGCCTCTAAGTGTTGACTTCAATGTTCACTTATATATATATATATATATATATATATATATCAAACAAAAAGAGTGCCGTAGGAAAAACAATACCTCAGCTATGTAAACACGTGCAAAGGAAGATGAATGCAAATTGAAGAAAGATTTGTAGATTTTAAATCGCACACAGAGTGAATAAATTCCTGCTTTTGGTGTCGTACAACAAAAAGAAAGAATTTAGACTACCGGAGGCAGGCTAAAAGAGCTTAGCTGTACCGTTATGGTGAGATAACGTACCGTGAGAATATAAGGTACTGTGAGAATATAATCCTATCAGGTAGGTTATGATAACTAAAAATGCATGAATTTTAACTCCTCCAGAAAAAGATTTATCTGTGCATAGAGCAACCGGTCACCGAAAATGCATGACTTTAAACCTCTTCAAAAGAATTACCTGTGTATAGTGCGACTATGCCATTTATCCACAGTAATTTGACTTTGCTAACCAGACGCTTCCTTCATAGCTAAACTGGTATAGCACGTCAGGCTATATGATGATTCTGTGTAGGATAGAGGTTATATTCCTGTCGGAGGACACATATTTTCTATGAAATTTCTCGCACATTTAGGCCGGTAAATGTAGTTAGTATTGTTTATTATAAATAGAGCATTTGTATGTATAAAAATAACGTATAAACAGAATATATATATGCGTGTGTGCATGTGTGTGTGTGATGGTGGTGGTAGTGTAATGGATAGAGGCTCAGAGTAGGAAATCGTAGAGCCGAGTTCGAAAACCCTTGAGAAATGTCTGAATCCATCTCTTCTATGGGTAAATAGCAGAACAGATTGGACCCTATAGCCTTGGTTGGCAACTAGTTTAGGAGAAAGACAACTCTGAATTCAAAAACCCGAAGAAGATCGTTTGGAGATCTAGTGGTGAACTATGTGCCTCAGTTCTCTATATTCGGCTCTCCCGAAAAGTGTGGTTAGCGTCGCACAGCCTTTATAACAATAATTAAATCATATGTTCGGGCAGTGGCGTTTGGTTCTAAGAACTGAGCTACTTGACCCTCATATATCGAAAGCGACTGGAGAGTCTTAGTATATATATATATATATATATATATATATATATATATATATATATATATAAAATAAATCCAAAGAGCCAGGAAAACCTACCTAGGTTTTACCTAAACGGATCTTCAAGGTAAGAGCTGGCTTACTTAGGTAGGTTTACTTGGCTGTTTAGGATTTATTTTAGTTATTCCCGCTCTACTTAGCGTATTGAGCACTCTACGTTTTAGTCTTACTACTTGCTTGAGTGGGGGTTGGGGGGGATAACTAAAGTCTTAAGGTACTGGTCGAGTTATTTCGCCCTGTTCGGATATTTTCGTTCTTTCTTTTTTATTTCCAATTTTTTCTTCGGCTAACGATTTGTTTTGACATATCTACAAGTTGTGTTATCTGGGTTTTTTTACCGAACGAGTATTACTGTTAGTATATATATATATATATATATATATATATATATATATATATATATATATATATATATATATATATATATATATAATGTGTGTGTGTTCTCTTAGCACCCTGGTGATGCGGTTCCAAAATATCTTCCATTACTTGTGGTAGGGGGTGCTCAAGAGTTTTCCGGATCTCATTGAATTCAGTCATCGATTTGCCTAATACTATATAAATATGTGTGTGCGTGCTCTCGCGTGTGCGTGTGTGTGTGTGCACGCGCACACGCGCGTATATCCACCAAGTTCGCATAATTTGTCGCTAATAACGTCCGCAAAATTCAAAATCGTTTACGTGTTCTTGTGGCGGGAACAGCCTCTTCCCCACAGACGCAACATTGCAAAACTGTCGCTACTCTATTGCTATTTCCACGTCGAATATTCAAATGAGTTCTATTCTTTACTGCCACCAGTCCAGGCCTTTACAACTAGGAGATGCCGCGTTACTTCCACGGAGCCGAATCACCCTCATTTCCAACGTGTTCTAAATGTAAGAAGGAAGTTCGTTTTTTCGTAAGAACTTTGTGGAACATTCATTCCCTAGAATCTTAACCTCTTCGAGTCAAGAGTCACTCGTTATATATCCTCCCTATCCTCATAACCTTCACTTCCTAATTAATCTTCTTTCATTCAGATCACACTCCTCATTCATCATTACCATTCCAATAGTTTCCCTCTACTTTGAGTAACTCTCGAACCTTATACTAGATGATTTCTAGTATAAAAATAGTTTACCCATTCACTACAGTACTAATTGTCCTGGCTATAGCAATAAATTACATCCAGCATAAGGCCTCTGATCAGGAGGTTTTGAGTAGCGTGGACCCTCCTCTTAATTACTGTTATTCCCAGGTCCAGGGGGTAGCACTTGTTAGATCCCCAGCCATGGGCAAATAGATAACCCTCAAATAAAAGCAAAATACTATCAAAGTAGAAAAATAAATTTTTATATAAAAAAAATTACCAACAATAACTATTTATAGTATATATTTAGTTGAAGCCATAAAATTGTGTTCAAAATATTTAAATTTCGGCATTAAATAATCCATAGAGGTTGATATGCCATTAAACAAAACCAACCAAACCAAACTGCAGTACTAAAGAATCATTTTACTATCTGCAACTGATTATTTACCTGGCATAGACGGGTACTTCAACTAGTATTTAACAAACATTTACAACGAGGTAAACAAACTATCAAAAGTTGAAAAGTCTTCAGAAACAATTGCAGGTTTACTCATTCAAAAACTGCCATATTTAACATTGCTTAACTATGGTCACCCAACGAAAACTGCGGATTTCATAATGGTAGAATTCGCGACAACAACGGCAGATATGGCGTGTTTTACAAGTTATGGAAATGATTTCTGATAATGACTCCGGCCAGCTTTCTCGTTCATCCTCCATAGCTTGGGGGGAAAATCAGCTGCATCATTCATAGAAGTGAAGTAATGTTAAGTGTAACGTTGTACGCGGAAAATTGATCGATTTTTTTCACAGAGAATTTTAATCGTCCAACACCGACCAGGACAGTAAAGCTTATCTGCAATCGTGGCGTCCCTTCATCCAGATTGATAGTCTAATCATGTAATTAGTTAATGGTTAGCTTGGAACAGAGGGCAGACATCAAGTCAGCAGGTAATTGTGACAGTCGGCAGCTCACTTGTTCAAACTGATAATCGCTGAGTTGAATTATGGGAAATGGCAGTCGATTCACTAAGCGTTCATCCCGGGCCAAATGAAACAGTTGTGTTAATTCAGCGTCTGATTAAGACAGTGTATATTATTAACAGAGGTTAGGAAGGAGAAAGGGGGAGATATAAAAAGAAGGACAAAGAAAACAAAGGAATAAAAGAGAAAAACAAAGAGGTAAAGGTGAGGAATGGAAAGTGAAAGAAAATAGAGAGCGAAGAAAAATTAATAAGAAAGAAAGAAAGAAAGAAAGAAAGAAATAACGATTGAGATAAAAAGAAGGAAGGTTATTTGGAAAGAAAGCGAGAAAATAGCAATAAAAATTTAAAATAAAACCTGAAAATTGAAATTTTCTCTAAATTTCTGAAACAATGACTACAGTGCTATAAGCTTTTTATAAGTTATTCAGTTAACTAGAGGTCGTTGGTTCAATCCCGGGTTGGAAAGTGAAAATTATATACTTTAGTTCAGTGGAATGAACAGAATCGAGACGACAAGGACAAATTAAAAATTAAACATCCAAAATATTCAATAACAACAGAATAACAACAATCAACCGCCATGGAGTAAAGAGTTCGGTTCAAATGTCTCTGCATCTTAAATACGACAGGCCCCCAAAAAAGGTCAGATGTTAGAATGATCGAAATGTGATAATTATAATTACCGGATTAAAAAAAAAAAAAACGGTTCGAATAAAACAACGTGAAATAAAAATTGTTGACTTCTTTATGATTCCAAGCTTACGACCATATCATGTTCAAACACCGTTTCTTGTTACGCTCACCGAAGTTAAGCAACGTCGAGCTTGTCAATACGTAGATGGGTGACCGCTTGGGAATACCGGGTGTTATAAGGTGGTGTAAAAGATAACGGCTCCGAATTGGAAGTCGGAGAGTCTAGTTTAATTCCAGTCGGGTTCGTTATATTCAATACCACGCAAATACCATTGGGAAAGGCATGAAACCACCTCTTCTCACCCTTCCAGATATGGGTTAATTAGTACGACTTGTATCAATAGAAATCATTATCATCTCCAAAACAATTCTTACAAAATAAACATATTTTCTGGCTTTAAATAACATTCGAAATGATGATATACTTTATGATTTTATAATACCACTTTCATTTCTTCTTCTCTTTTCTATCCTTTTTTTCAGTAAGGTTCACCCTGTACGGGGCCCGGGAGCCACTCGTAGTAGAGGGTTACGTTAAGAGGCAGTTTATATGGATAGAAGGGTGAGATAACGGTTAACCCAAGACATGAACAGATTAGGATTGTAGTGATCAAGGAAACATTCTCTTGGAAGTTGGTTCCGCAGTGCAGTGGTTCGCGGAAAGAAGATGTTCCAGAAGAACTGACTTCTCACTGATGGAATACGAGGGAAATGTGGTTGGTCTGCTACTACGTAAGTGGCATAGTGGGCCCTAGACGTGAAGGTTAGACCTGGCGGAACTAAGGAATATAGTTCGTCCGAGCACTTTCCATGGTAGTAGCGATAGAACAGCCAGAGACTTACCACATCCCGCCTGTGAGAGAAAAAGAGAGAGATTGATAGGTGGAAAATATCGTTGTTAACAGTTTTCTAGCATATAAGTCCGTCTTTATTTACTAATAGCCTCATCTTTTTTTTTTCGGATATTGGACCCTTCTTCTAGTGTCTGTCGACCCGAGTAACTTTCAAGGAATTTAAAACTGAATCCTTTATTTAATTTACGAAGGAAGATTGTTGTTGTTCCGCTGTCCATATCTAGGGGAGATAACTCGTCTTATTTTTCTCTTAGTGATCAGTTATTTCTAGTAGCCCCGTTTCCACTGGGCCTGAGTCTGTACTAACGGGACCAGGAATTGAACTCACCAATTACTATGCCACTAAATTCACTAAGCAACGTTTTAATCCATTAGTCTATTTGTGACATTGTTACCATATCGCATGTGATCGTCTATGTAGCTGTATTTTAGGGGCTCCACCACCAACTTTGTACATCTTGCGATCATCATAGTGGCTTGAAAGAGTGTTTGGCGATTGTAATTGTTCGGTAGTTAGCTTCCACGGCATGGTACCAGTATATTAAAACTGAACCTTCTTTGCCTTGCTGAAAATCAAATTAAATGTCTTTTCAACAGGAAAAGGTTTCTTCGTATGGTGTTACACAGCACGTCGTATATAGTTTCGTCTACTTAATGTACTTAAACGAAGTCTTGATCAGTGCTTAATAAAGTTCCTATAACATCATTAATATATGTGCAGTATGCATTAGTCTCAAGAAACCATGCATCTACATCTGGAAGTTTGTTTTTTTATTTATATTTTTAATTCAGTTAATAAAAATTATCGGGACTGTTGCTATGGTAACGTACGCAGAATAAAGCCGCTTGACACAGATTGACCTTGGACTATGTGCCCACTAAGTTATAACGTTCTCGTTCACTTTCGTTGTTTATAGCAGTTCTTTGAAGGAAAGTGTGTAGAGTGTGGTCGACTGACCAGACCACAGAGGTTCCATCAGCGACCATGGCTTGTGAAGCAGTTTTTGGTCAAGGACAATATTCCCCATGTCCAATAACTACCATATTCCCCAGATCTTGCCCCTTGCGATTTTTTCCTCTTTCCAAAAATCAATTTACCACCTGAAAGGCACAAGATTTCAAGATGTCATAAGAAGAGAATGCGGCGAGACAGCTTCTCGCTATCCGAAACGATCAATTCCAGGAAGTGCAAACGACGCTGGATAAAGTGTTGTGCTTCAGAAGCGGGCCGATTTGAAGAAGATTAAATGACGAACAGATATGGTGATTTTCTAAGCATAGCTGTGATACAAGTCGGAAAGTGTAGGGCATCCAGTGAGGATCGAACTCACTACTCAGTTGTATTTATTCTAGCGAGGCTAGCATGCTAAACATTACACCACGTCGAGGTGCCCAAATGCTGAATTGATATATGTTTTAGTTTTCTTTTTATAGCACTAGTCCCGTACTTTTTGATCAGACATCGTATTGTCCAATGGGATGATCCTGAAGTTAGATGTTGGCACCTTTATTAAAAAAAAGGTTCGAATTTTTTTATTGTTTTTAACGTCAATATAAAAATGAGAAATCGAGCAAGACAGGGGCAAAAAAAAAAATTATTATCTATTTTATCGCAAAACTTAAAGTAACTTTAGTAGTTGATTTTTTCCAGTGATCACTTGACTCTAATAAATAAATAAAAATTTAAAAAAAAAAAAAAAAAAAAAAACAGGCTCAAATTCTCTATGGAAGGAATCGAATATAAACCAATTTGCGAATAATATGTCATTAATTCCATGATTTTACAACCGAACGGAAATAACGATTTAACTGCATCATCGGAAGCATCAAATAAACCCTTTTGTCAGTTTTGCTTTTTCGGAGATTCCTAATATTATTTCAACCTTTATTGAATAAAGTCGAACTTTTGGTGTAATAATCTTCCTTCATCTTTTCTTTAGTATACGTACGTCTCAAGAAATTCTATTTTAATAATCCCAGTTGTTAATTTCTTCTTTTTTTTTAATTTATCACCAAGGAAGGCGATAATGCCACTAAGATGCAAGGGGATACTGGGAATGAAAGAGAATGAAAAAGATTTTAGAAGGAGCTGGAAACCAAATCTTAAAAAGACTTTCACTGAACATCATGTTTTGTGTTTTGTTTTTGTTTTTTTTCTTATTTTGTTTTGTTTTTTGTTATTTTTTTTTTTTTGTTTTTTAATCAATTCACGCCAGTAAAGGAGCTAATGCTACTAAGATGCAAGGGGATACTGGGAGTAAAAGAGAATGAAAAAAACTTTAGAAGGAACTGGAAACCAAATCCTTAAAAGACTTTCACTGAGTATCATATTTTTGTTAGTTTTTTCTTGTTTTTTTTTTTGTTTTTGTTTTTTTTTTAATCAATTCACGCCAGTAAATGACATAATGCCACTAAGAGGCAAGTGGATAGTGGGAGTGAAAGAGAATGAAAAGACTTTAGAAAGAAGCGAAAACCCAACCCTAAACAGGAAACAAGGGATAAACCTCTACTCCTGTTCACAAGACTGGAGAGAAGTGTGAACCAGACGATAGGTGAACCTATCTAAACTTATTGAGGAAAATAAATAAATAGTAAATAAAATTTCAGAGTTTAGGCAGAGACATTAGAAGTATAGAGTTGAAGTAAACTTTAGAAAGAACCAAAAACCCAATCCTAAACAAAAAAAATGGATAGACCTCTACCCCTGTTTAAAAACCAGGAAGGAGCGTGAACCAGGCGATAGGCGAACCTATCTACTCCTTCTGCTTGGTAATCACTGCGTAACTATTTTGGAACATTTCTGCCCGATTCATAAAGAAATATGTGTTTAAAACACGTCAAATCAGTGCTTAATAAAGTTCCTATAACATCATTAATATATGTGCAGCATCCATTAATCTCAAGAAACCATGAATCTGGGTGTTTGTTTTTTATTTGTATTTTTAATTTAGTTGATCGTCTATTTTATCAGTCAATCACCGGCGAGGCGACGCTTGAGTGTCCAGTCCTCAGCGCAGGATTTTTATGGATATCGACAGTTGTCCATATAGCACGTCTCAACTCTCCACGCCACTGATGTTGTACAATAGAAATGGATACTGCTTGGTTAAGATGTCGTCGAAGGAGTTGATAGAACAAGCTTGGATGCTACGTCGAACTGCCTTTGGAACTCCGGTTCCAGATTTTATTCTCAGAGTTTACAGCCGAAGTATTTTCATTGTTTGGGAATAGCCGCAATGTAGGGTAGATTTGAAATCAGGTTTCCTTCTGTTAAATGGTTAACCCACCCACAACGAATCGAGATCCATCAATTGCTGATTAAATGTAAAATCGAGCTTAAAGATTTTTTTAACAAAAGTTTAAGCTAAAATCAATTATATTAATATTAAAAGACATTAATTTGTTACCAAAGATAGAGCTTGTATTTTATCGGAAAAAGATTATTTAATAACAGATTGGTTTTGTCGATTCTTCCAAACTGCGTAAAAATTATCAGACGTTTTTTGTAGAAAGAAAAAATTATAGCTAAACATTGAAAAAATATTATTGTTAAATTGTTATAAAATATTGTTTAAAAAACGCCTGAAATTATCAATTATATTAATATTAATTAAATTCAGAAACATTAATTTGTTTTTTTTTTTTTTTTTTTTTACCACAGATAGATGCTTGTATTTTATCGAGCTAATAAAGATTATTTAATATACAGATTGGTCCGAAAGTCTTGTCGCTTCCAGTTAGTTCCTCATGAAGTTTGGGAACCAGCGAATGAAAGTATTTGTAGAACAGACAGAGGGGAGGCGACGGTGCGTCTGTGAGAAAGTGACTGTAGACGAGACGCCAGGGTAGGGCCAACCATATATATCCGTTAGCCAGAAGGGGCCAGACCATATATGGCATTGTGCATAATTATCAGACGTTTTGAGGCAATATGGAGAGTTATTTCAGACATTAATGGAAAAAGGCTTGCTGTTTTAATTTTATTTTTTAGGTTAAAAAATGCGTGTCGATTGGAGGTCCTTTTCATAGTTTTGTCGCCCTGGAATAAACATTGAAAAAACATTATTGTTAAATTGTTAGGATGGAGCCTTCCTTTTTTTTTTTTTTTTTTTGACAGGAATGATTGTTTTTATAATTGACCCGTAATGCCATTGTTTAAAAAATCTAGTGCCTGATAATTATGCACCAATCAATATATTATTTCACGGTGACATGATTAGAGCTTTTTTGCCGGACCAAGGAGACCGGTGTGTTCTGACATTAAATTCGCATCTGTAAACAAGATTCCTTGAGGCATAGATCTTTCGAAAGGGCGGGCGCCAAATTTTAAAGACAATGGCTGGTATCCCATCTCCACCACTCGCCTTGTTGATTTTGAGATAACGCCCATACCAAGGTTGGGGTCATTTTACAATATGGCATTTCTAAGAGGAAAGTCATTTGGGTACATATTAACTGTAACTTGATGGGTTACCATCTATCTTATTTAAAAAAAAAAAAATTGACTCATGCATTCCGCCGGAAATTTATTCTCTATTTCCAATCCAAGAAACTTACCAATGATCGTTGAATAACGATCTGGTAGGTTCTTTATAGGGGAGGAGTTAAAGGAGATGTTAACCGATAAAAAGCAACTGCAGGAAATGTAAACGGAAAAAAAACTACTAGTGAAAAATTGATAAGTAAATTATTCAATATTTTCAAACTGGAGGAGAGAGCCTCTATGTTTTAAATGCCGTATTTAGAGGATGGAGAGCGGTAAAGAAGAAGAGATATTAGGAGAGAGAGAGACGGAGACACTCCCTCTCTGGGCCACCAAAAAGTTTAAAAATACAAGATAGCCCGAGAGATCAGGGTTTTTGTATGTAAACACTAAAAAGATACACAATGTTGGAAAAAATGTTCCTTTATATTCCCTGCTAAAATGGGATGTCTTTTATGTTGGTGAGTATTATTTCATCCCGTCGATTTTACTTTTGAAGAGATGTTGCCACAGACTGCACGCATCACGGAGAAACAGACCTGGCAGAGAAGACAGCACATGTTGGAACCCCATACCCAGACAACTACCAGTCGGAAACAAGGTTAAATGAATTAATAAACCTATCTGAAGATGAACTTATTGAGTAACTAGATCCTGGTTCACGGCTATAAATATTTATAAGTCCCATTGTTAAAAAGAAATTTCTGAATATCACATCCAGATTTTTTCCATTTTTCTAGTTTTTTACGAAAGATCTTGCTTTATCATTTTTTTTTAAATTCACAATTATTAAGAATTTTTTAAATTTTTTTCCATCGAATGTTTATTCTTTTTCCGATCCAAGTTGTTTTGAATAACGATTTCGAATATTTAAACCGGAAAAATTGTACATTATTTTCGCTTCAGTTTAATGGTCTACGCTTATTTCAGTTTATATGTAAACACTCACACACTGCTTTTATTTCAAATTTTCATTCCTATCTTTTTTACTTTGTGGCACAAAATGAATTAATATCTGACGAATAGTCAGATTTTATTTATGTTAATTTCTTTTTTTCCTTTTTCGAAAGACTTGCTTCATTTTTTTTTAAATCTGATTATTAAGAATTTTTAAATTTTTTCCACAAAGGTTTCAAGTTGTTTTCCGAATATTTAAAATACATATTTAGTTTCAGTGGCAAATTTCAGTGTCGTTAACTGTAAAAAAAATTAATGACGAATAGTCATTTTATTTCGCCGTTCGGCGTTGGCAAGAGTTTTCCTTAAAAAGACAATTTGAAAGCAGCGTCTATGAAATGCAGAATTGTGGTAATGTCTATGCATGAGTTTTAAACCGTCAGAAAACCGAAAAACGTATTTTAAATAATTTACATTCTTAGAACTTAAATTTTGGTCTTATTTGAAACGTAATAGTAAAGATAATCCGTATTAATAGGAAAAATTTATATTCGTATATAAATACTTTTTAGGTATTTTTAAAACATTTGCATGTTTTAACTCGTCCCTCATCGAACTACCTATTATAGACGAAGAATATAAGCAACAAATGTAAAAAAATCTCTTTAAAATCTAGTATTTGTCCTAGAGATGTGTTTCGAAGTCAGTTTGTAGATTTAAGGATTAATTAACTGGATGTTGCAACCGTAATACTTACCTTTGTCTTAAAACATAATGAAAATAATGTAACAGTAGTCTGTGAGGTCAACAATTATAAATATCCCTATCAATCTTGCTCTTAAAAAGCGCACATTTTTTTTTCAAATTATTAAATAAATACGAAAAACTAGTAGTACAATAATCAAGAAATTGGTATTAATGTTTTAAAATAAATTATCTTCAACCTTATGTAACAAATTAGTTTTTATTATATACGATTTTTTTAAATTAATAGAAATAATAATTTTATTTTTTATACTACATTAGAACCATTTTTTAGGTCAGTAATAATTTTGAGTTTAATACGTTACTTTTAGTTTTATTTACATTTTTTTAATTATTTTCTTACTCGTTTGATGTCATAAAATATCAAATTGTTCACAGTTGATATTACGTTTTTTTTTTTTTTTTACTAAAATAAGATCTTCGGGGAGTTTTCTTTATATAATTCACGTGTACTTCCCCACCAACAAAAAATTAATATTAAAATTTACACACGAGCTTTTGAAAGATGGGTGAAACACATCACTAATCCCCACCTCAACAAAAAAACACATATTTCCAAAACGTTTACCAATATAATAACGTATGCAGTGTACAAGTCATTGATTAATGAATAAATACTGACAATTTCATTTGAATCGGATAATTTTCTGATTTTTGGCAAATATTTGAAAACAGGAGGTAGCAATTTTTTGCTTTCATTTCGCATTCATTTTTGTGTTACCTAGTTACCTATGTGTATTGCGTGCGTGTGCCTTCATATAAGCAAATAACACATTACTATTTCAAATACATATTATGTAGATAATTAGATTTAGATTAGGTTGCCAACCAAGGGTATAAGATCCAGTCTGTCCTGCTATTCAACTCATGACGAGTGGAGGGAGCGATGGATTCATACCTTTCTAAAGAGTATTTGCGCGTCAGTGAATATAACGAACCCGGCTGGAATTCGAACACGGCTCTCCGATTTCTCATTCCGTTACTCCACAACGCACATTCTAAATAGATATATATTAACAGAATTAGATAGATAGATAGATAGATAATCAATACTGAAACAGATAGATAGATAGATAGATAGATAGATAGATAGATAGATAGATAGATAGATAGATATCGCTGATTCCAAAGCATATGCTCAGATGAGTGCCATTCTCCATTCTCCAGTTGAAAACTTACAGATAGGTTACATCATACGACTCCCACGGAGGTAGAACACCGTCATTCCTTCCATATTCCAAAGAAAGTTCAATTTTTTTTTTCTTTTTTCCAATAATTATGACTTTGTGGAACAAACTCCTATGTGGATTTTTCCATGAACGATACAATCTTGGCCTCTTCAATTATGGGCCAATCGTTATTTTTTTCCTTATTCTCATAATCTTTACTACCAACCAGTTTCTCTTCCATTCGTATTACACACCTCTTTCAGCATTACCATTTCGATTGTAAACTTTTATCTTGAGTGGCTCTCGTGGCTCGGATTCGATGAACTCTAGTATTTAAAAATTGAAGACAACTCCAGATATGTTAACTACTGATTACGGAATAGGTTTCATTGATGGGGAAACAAAAAGAATAATCAGGGAATAATTCTTGACCTATCTGCACTCTCCCTCCATCAGCCATAGTGGCGTACAATTGAGGACGCTTTGATAATAATTATTAATGTTAATTAAGCCTAGAGGTAATTAGCATTTGCAAAACAAATTTGTAACATAAATTTATCCGACCCTCTGACAATGATGAGTAGTGAGTCCGCAAAACTTTGAATGGGCCGAAATATAAATCAATTGAATTCTTAATAATTTAGTGACTGTTCTTGGTCTAATTTTCTGTAAAGCATTTTCTTAACAAAAATTTTGCTCGCCTTTACTAAATAACAAAACTCACATCACTTTAAGACTTCCAACTGTAGCAACAACTAAAATGATTAACACGTGTAACTAGAAGGAAAAATATTGACATAATCAAAGGGTAAATATTTACGCTACCTTAAAAGGTTTGGATGGGAATCCCCCACCAATCCTAAAAAGAGCGATAACATTTAGCGGATATGAGAAACGTATTTCTCTGAAAAACTGATTTTTTTTTTTTTTTTTTTTTTAGCATTTCACCCCAAGAAAGGCGGGAATGCCACTAGTACGCAAGGAGCTAAATAGAATGAAAGTAAGAGAAAATACTGGGTATGGAGGGGATTGAGGAAAGGGTAAAACGAAAAAACGGGGATCAAGTCATCAGAAGATATCAATTGACATTGCATTTAAATTTTTGAAGATTATAGTTATCAGGTAAGCTCGTAAGAAGAAGGGAGTTCCACTGTCGGGAAGTGCGAGAGAAGCTTTTGGAGTAGAAGACGCGGTTATATTTAACTGTTTCAACAGTAAAAGGGTGGGACCGAGATGCCAATTTGTAGCACGCTTAAATTCATGCAATCGGGGCGCTAGTAAAAATAGCTCTTCGGAAAAGTTGCCATGAAAATATTTGTAGAAAAGACAGAGGGAAGCCACATCACATCTGTAAAAAGTGGCTGGAGTCGAGATGCCAGGTCAGGACCGATCATATTGCATATCTGTCTTTGGATTTGGTCGAGAACCTCGAGTTGAACAGCGGAGACACCAGACCATAAAGGGCAGCAGTATTTCATGCAAGAGCAAAAATGGTAGATTTGTAGATGTGAAGGATGGACTCAGACGAGAAAAACGTTCTGGCACGACAGAGAACCAACTTTCCTTGCGGTAGATGTAGCTATTGATTCAATGTAGTTGTTCCACCTCAGCTCAGTGTAAAACGTGAGACGAAGAAGGCGCAGTGAGACGCTCTCGTAGAATTGAGCATCAACCATGCTGATAGGAGGTAGGGTGGTTTCTCTGTGGTAAGAGAAAGATTTTATAAATTTCAACCTACGGTAGTCTTTGGTAATGAATGGCGAATGTTTCCTGCATTGAAACGTCTATCCTTACCATGGCCATTATCATTACAATTGAAATACGATAAATTCTATTAATTGTACATATTCTATTAGATCTTATTTTTATTATTAATCATAATAATGGGCACTTCGACGTGGTGTAATGGTTAGCGAGCTAGGTGATCCAAACTTTCGGCCTTGTGCCACATATAAAGGTACGCCTAGAAAATCATTTATTAATTGTAATGATAATATAAACTAAAAATACCCTTGAAAAATTAATGGTTTTCCTACTAGAATTTTCTGCTAAACCTTAATTATTAAGTTAATAATTGAATAAGATACTTGATATGTCCCAGAAAGGGATATATTTGTTCGAAGTAGCTAAGTGGTTTTGGCTACTGTAACCGGGTAGGGCAATCTAGCAGGTAGCCGTAATGGACTGGCACTCGTCGTAGTGGTAGACAATAGGCGTAGACAATAGGCGTAGCCCATGTACCTCCACATCAGTCAGTATTTATGGCTGTCACCAGCCAATCATATTACTGTGAGGGGGAAACCAGGTGTATGCATATTCATTACATCAATACTTATGAATCCGTCGACTATAAAATACCCATGGAAATTCCCCCATTACATCGTTAAATGTTTGAGCTTAACAACTTTAAGAAAATATTACAATAGCTATCATAAGTACAAATACAGGTCATTATTTAAAGAAGTAAGAGGGTACAAATGAAAAGGTTTGAAAGTGACAGTTTTTTTCCATTTCACTGAAGTAGACATCAAACACATAAGAGTGTTATCGCGTCCTCTGTCTTTCTTTTCTTTATTTCTTTTTTGTTCACTGAAAACTAACAGCGTCTCTGATATGTCTTTTCCGTCTTTCCTCGCGATCAAAACGGAATGGGCCATTATTTATCTGAGAAATTGGCAGTACGTAATGCACGAGCTAGCTAAAGAACAAGCAGAATTATAATATCATTCTATAAAAAAAAAATTATTTGATATCGAGCGGAGGCAGCCAAAAGTGACATTTAAGTTTATATGAAAGAAAAATGATTTTGTCAAAAGCTGGTGGTGGAAATTTTGGCGTCAAATTAAAATCATTTAAATTTTTGCACAAAGTACATCTGATGTAAATAAAATAGGAACAGTAGATATACTTAAAAAAAAATACACTACGGTAAGAAACAATGTGTCTCCAGTCGAGTCTCTCAGTTTTCCACTGTGCTAATTAAAAATTTTTGATTTTTTCTTAATAAAAATAAACATTTGCGGCGAATGTTCACATAGTTTAATTACGAATGGCATTGGAAATTAATTCTAAATATAAACACAAAATGTGTCTGAAAACCTTTACTTCAAATCTATCGATTTCAGTCTATTTATCCAGCTAGCTATTTCCATCTGTTCATATTTATCCAGCTAGTTAACGAACCATCTTGTTAACAGCAAACATTACTCGTCTGAAGCTCTGTTATTATTCTAGGGCAAAAAGACAGAGGCGAACAGATGAATCTACCATGATTGTGCATGTTCATCTTGCAAGCGATTAACTGTGAATTCGAGGCTCACTGAGTACTTATGATAGTTAAAACGCTGGTTATCGAGCAAGCCTCGCAAGCTATGACTTGTGACTTGTCGTAGTGGCTATAGCTAGTTTGTGATTTGTTGTAGGCATTGCTGGTTTGTGACTTATCGTTGTTGATTTGTGACTTTTCGTAGTGGCCAATGCTAATTTGTGACTTGAGCATTGCTGGTTTGTGACTTGCCGTAGTGGTCACTACTTGTTTGTGACTTGTTGCGGGCATTCCTAGTTTGTGACTTGTCGTAGTGACCATTGTTAGTTTGTCACTTGTGGGCATTGCTGGTTTGTGACTTGTCGTAGTAGTCATTGCTGGTTTGTGACTTGCGGTGGGCATTCCTAGTTTGTGACTTGTTGTGGGCAATCCTAGTTTGTGACTTGTCGTAGTTGCCATTGCTAGTTTGTGACTTGTTGTGGGCAATCCTAGTTTGTGACTTGTCGTAGTTGCCATTGCTAGTTTGTGACTTGTTGTGGGCAATCCTGGTTTGGGACTTGTCGTAGTTGCCATTGCTAGTTTGTGACTTGTAGTGGCCATTGCTTGTTTGTAACTTGTCGTAGTGGCAATTGTTAGTTTGTGACTTGTTGTGGACATTACAAATTTGTGACTTGTCATAGTGGCCATTGCTAGTTTGTCACTTGTTGTGGGGATTACTGGTTTGTGACTTGTCGTAGTGGCCATTGCTAGTATATGACTTGGGCATTGCCGGTTTATGACTTGTCGTGGTCATTGCTGGTTTTTGACTTGTTGGGCATTGCTGGTTTGTGACTTGTCGTGGTGGCTATTACTAATTTGTGACTTGTCGTAGTAACCGAAAAGAGAAATCGGCAAGTCGAATTCGAATTCTGACTGAAATTGTTAATTCCACCAAATACCCTTAAGACTCTATCTATTTCCAGCCACGGGTTTAATAATAGGAAAAACTAGGCTCTTTTGAGTGGTAACTAGTCTAGGAGAAGGAAAACTCTGAATTGAAAACTAGCATGAAGAGGGATAAGTTTTGTCCGGCTACCTTTCCCACTGCCGCTACGGTAGCAATACATGTGGTGCTCCAACGAACCTAATGGGTTGCGTGAGTGCTTTGCGTTCGAGGATAAAGAGCGAATGAAATGTAGAACAGGGTATGGCTGTCTTTTGCTCTCTTTTTGCACGTTTACTGATCCCTGAATACGGCTCACTTTAAATAGTTTTTATGATTAAAGCCACATGAACCTGACGTATAATTAAAACACGTGACCAGATTACGGGATAGAGGGTGAGTGGCTTGGATATTTTTTTATTTAGCAAGACAGTAGACGATTTTCCCCTGATATCAATTGTTCACAGAGTCGAACCGGAGTCATTTTTACAATTTTATTTCTATTATTTGTGCTCATTGAGTTATCTAACTAGTAATAACTGGTGACTTTCTGTCATGTGTCCTTACGTATAACTACAGAATTAACTCTTCCTAACACTATGTATACTACGCCTCTCAAGAGAGAGGGAGGAATCAAGCCGAGCTTCTCGGCTTGACGGTCGAACTCTCTGCCTCTGAGCACAGAGGAATCTGGACGAGGCTCCGCCGAAGGGCAGAGTCTCGTTCGGGGAGGTTGACCAACCCGATCCCGTTTATACTGGTTCTACGGGCATTTTTTGCCCGAGCCTACGGGCTCTGGAAACCCACGTTAAACTCGGCCTTGCGCCATATGCAACCCTCGTGGGGGGGGGGGCTAGATACCGAATCGAGTCGAGCCGATAGTAGTTCACTCCAAACCAGACTGACAGTCATACTAACACCTTCCACATCTTGTATTTTTATTTCGTGTAATATACCTTCGTTATTTCTACTCTTGTGTTCGTGTTGTTCTTCCTTGGTCCTAACCTGGACCATAACACTTTCACAGAAGATAAAGTGGAGTAATGAAGAGATTTGCTGTCACTTTCTTAATTATGTTCAGAAAATACGTTCGGCTCACGTTTACCAGTGAATTATAGAGATTTATAAGTGTTACAGAATAATGTCATGGATACTATAATAGACTGTTTTCTACTCAATAGTTCAAGCACTGAAAAAAATGCAGTATTGAATGAAAGAATATCTATTTAAATTTGACGAGATTTTTTAACATCCTAATTCTGTTGTATTATTAGTCTGTGTTAATATTAGTCTGTACAGCGATAAAATTATAATATTTGACTAGTTTCTTTTCGTTTCATCTTATTATCTTTCCATTACAATACTCACATTGTTTCTGTATTTTATGATCGTTAAATATGCGTCATGGATCAGCAATAACCCCGGCGAGATTTGAACTCGTATCTTGTATCATTAGAGGTTCGTTTAACATGAACTGAAGTGGTAACCTTGCAACACGGGCTTTCAATTGATAGGAGACGCGAACTCAACTCATGTCGAAGACTAATTTTAAATTCATGATCCATAATGGTAGATACCTCCAAAGAAACGCGATACCTAAGGTTTAAAATTAATTTTTAAAAATGAAAAATTCTTTCTTGGAGATTTTATTTTAGTTTTAATTTCAAGCTAATACATTAAATTTAATATTTCTAATAAGGACACAAGAACCAGTGGATAAAAGCGTTGGTTGGAGTTATGAGTTCAATAGATCAAAGTTCTACTGCAGTGATGAACAAAAACTTGGAAAGTTGAGTTAAAAGAAGATAACTGAGACATCCGGAAGAGGGACTAGAACAATCTACCCCCGATGGAGCGAAATAAAAGTTTCAGTTCGAAATTTCAATCACCTGAAGAAGGCCGGATCGTACAATGGCCGAAATGTCGTGAATATGGCAACAAATATTAGAATAACAGTCCGAACAATGTAAATAGTGTAAAAAATAAGATTAAATAAAATGCTAGATACCGTCAAATATTAATCTATTGTTTTATAGTTGTACAGAGTAATAAAGCGCGTAAAATTATTGTTTATTCAACAACCGACTTCGTCAATTAATATCACCGAACGAGTGTGTGGCTTCGCTGTTTTCTCCGAACATGGATTCTTCTTCTCGCGAGGATGTAAAAGAATACCCTTCTCTTCGCTCTCGGGTGTATGCTTATATATTTTCCTATCGTCATGTGTGTACATTCTAAACGCAGATTAATCAACCAACTGTTTACACGTAGGGAGCAACCACTGGCTTCCTGTGAGACACGGATATCCACCAGGTTGCTAGAAGGTCATCTTCCAGCTCAAGTCTCTGATGCATCTGGTTTCTCTTATAGTCTGATGCAAAATCTGTGTTGGCATCATCTGTGATAAGTTACATGCTACAAATGATGAGCCGTACTGAGTATGACGATAACCTAAATCCGCATCCTGGGTAAGACGATAAATTAGGTCCGACGGCAAGGTCTCTGATCAGGAAGTTTTCAGGAGCGTGGAACCGCCTCTTAATTGCTGGTGTTCTCAGGTCCACCCTGACCCGGGGTGGTAGCACCTGTTAGGGCCCCAGCTATGGGTAAATAGTTAACCCCCCCAAAAAAAACTGGGGTCAAAACACTATGAAAGTGTAAAAATAGGTTTTAATACCAGAAATACTTTGTAAAAAAATTATTACCAGCAATACATTTTTGAAAAAGAATTACCATCTATACACTTAAAAAAAATATTACCAGCAATATGTCGGCATTAAATAACCCATTGAGGTTGGTATGCCGTAAAGCAAACCAAACTAAACAAATCATGACAATATATCAGTCAAGAATTTTGGACACCTCAAGGATATTACGTTTAGTAAACGTATTAAAAGAATTTTTAAAAAATTGAAGATTAGTAAAAAAAAAAAAAAAAAAAATTCATAAATTTATTTTAATAATTCAGACAAAATAGAATATAACATTAAAGACGATTTATGGAAGCCATCATGTGTTTTTAAGTATATAAAAACTAATCCTGGGAAATCATTTTTGCTATATATTATACATTTTACCATGATGCTAGAAACAAAGGAACCGGAAAAACTTATTACCCTACTTGGCTTCGCTAAACGCACAGTAGGTGGCACTGTTTAAGTTCTATAAATAAACAGACGCATTTTGTTCCTTTCTTTCTTGCTCCAAGATGTAGCAGAGTGTGAGGGAAAAAATACGTCCCCGCTTACCCTAAGTTCTGGACCCAAGAGACTTTACCTTACAGTAATTACTATATTAAAAAAAATAAATGATTCTTAGTGGAAACCCAAGTTTTTATATGCTTCTTATTTAATTGTTTAGATGTGAACACGCAGACACCTACAAGACACCCACACGCAAGCTTAAATTCCATAAATATATCAATCAAAATGAATATACTCGTCCGAGTGTATTAACTTTTGCTTTAATCTAGTTTTTTTTTTTCTGGTTTCACTGGTGTATTTTTAATTAGAGGCCATTAATGCGTATCTTTTATTTTCAATCAAGTTCACTGAATACTCTGTATCGGTTACTTATAAATGCACAAACATAAACAGGTGTTTTATTTTAGCGTTAAGCATGTAGTTCACTGTACGCATGCGTGTACTGTCTTCTTTCCTCACTGTAAATTTTAAATGAGTTGAAACACGAGCTAAAAGGAAGGAGGAATGAAAAGAAGTAAAAGAGTGAGAAAGGAAACGGGAAAAAATACGGAGAATGAATAATGGGTAGAACGGAGGAAAATAAACAAAGAAAACAACGGAGATTTACGGAGGAAGGATAAAGAAAGTAAATAATAAAGAGAGTAATACGTATCACAAGAAAGAAAGAAAGAAAGAAAGAAAGAAAGAAAGAAAGAAAGAAAGGCATATATTTCAAAAGAACGAATACAGATATCAATGAATGAATGAAGTTAGCAATGAATTTCATAAAGAAAGATAGTAATTAATTTCATAAAGATGAATGAAGTTCGCAATGAATTTCATAAGAAAAAAAAGCTAAGAATTGCATACGAATTAATAAATGACTAAAGTTAGCAATGAATTTCATAAGAATGAATGAATGAAGTTAACAATGATTATCATAAGAAACAAAGACAGTAATTAATTTCATAAGAATGAATGAAGTTAGCAATGAACTTCATGAGAAAGAAAGAAAGAAAGAAAGAAAGAAAGAAAGAAAGAAAGAAAGAAAGAAAGAAAGGGAATAAAAATGGAAAGAAACGAAAAAAAACAGACGAATGGAAATGAAGAACAATGACTTGTGTAGTGTTCAACAAAACAATATCAAGCCGTATCGCCAAGGAACAATGGCAGTTACTTGGTATATTTTAATGCTCACCGTGTACTCTACACTAATTACATTGAATCAGACTCAACTAATTTGAGTGTTTAACATAACGTGATTAGCCACTTGTTAATTAACTTTTGATATCCTTCAAAATTTCTGGCCTTATTCCAGACTAAGTAAAATTGAGAAAATAGTAACAGTTTTAAAGAAACTCTAATAATTTACTGATGCTCTGGGAATCTTTATAATAGAGAATAAAAGATATACTGTATTTGAAGTCAAGGATGAGATACAGGCATGTTAGACATACCTCTATTTCAGCAGGGCATATATTAAAGAGAAAAGTTGTTTTTTTGTCTATTTAAGCATGTAATGTTTAAAGCAAGAAAACTAACAGTACATTACAAGACATCACAGAATCACTTTAGCGATAACAAAAGACATTACTGTATATTAAAAGCAAGCTACCAGTACAACTTAACATAAAGTAAGCAATTATAAAAGTGAAAATATCTTACATGAATTATAGTAAATAAAACATTACAAAGCGGAACATCTTTTATAAAGAGTAACTTACAACTACAGTTGATCTTAAAAGTAAAATACGGTTTTAGCATTACCAGCGTGTCTTTTCAGTTACACCTCTTTTCTCTGTTATTTCCAGCAAAGTGTTTTGACCTTTTTATGATACTTCCTTTTTGCAGTAACAACAACAACGACAACAACAATAATAATAATAATATTGTGTTAGCCCAAAATGCAGATTCTGTGATAAATATCCAGAAACAATTGATCATCTTGTATCAGGTTGCACGATATTGGCACCCACTGAGTATAAAACCCGTTATGACAGAGTGGGCCAATATCTGCACTGGAAAATATGCAACTTCTACGGGAAGGAAACTGAAAGAAACTGGTATGAATACCACCCAGATCCGGTCACGGAAATAGGACCTGTTACAATTCTATGGGACTACACAATACACACTGACAGCACAATCAAAGCCAACCGCCCAGACATTGTTATTAGAGACCACAAACAAAAAAAGTGCCTCCTTATTGATATGGCAGTCCCTGCAGACTGCAATGTATCTTTGAATATATTCAAAAAGCTGTCAAAATACAAGGACCTTGAAATAGAAATCTCAAAAATGTGGCACATGGGAACATCAACAATCCCTGTTATAGTTGGAGCCCTAGGATTGGTTGGAAAAGATTGCAGTAGACTAATTGAAGGGATTCCTGGAAGTCCATGCCTTAAAGTGATACAAAAAATTGTTCTGAAAAATACATCCCACACTTTACGAAGGGCTTTATCTATGTATTTTTTTTTCTTTTGTGGTTTCCACAAAAAAAAATGATATTGTCATGATGCCATTTCTAACCTTAGGTCCCTGGGCGGGATCCGGAAAGAAATGTGTAAACGCCAGAAATCAAAGGAAATAATAATAATAATAATAATAATAATAATAATAATAATAATAATAATGCTGTTTGAGTGTAGCCACCACGGGGATAAAATTTACCTAGAAGTCTCAAGTTGGCATATAGAATGTAATACAGTTTTCTTTTAGACATTATATTAAAAGTCCGTTATATGTACCACCAAATACCGTACTTTCGCCATAAAACGGTGATTTAAGGATCAAAATTCCTTATAAACGGTATTCGTTCATAATTATATCGATTTGTATGTACATATGATTATAGTTATTTGATAAATAAAGTGCCGGCTAGTACAAAACCGGATTAGTTGGTACCCGTGAAAATCGAACTCACAAGCAATAGCAAATTAGCCTGCAAAACAAGTTAATGAGCCTTGTGCATGTGTTTAAATAGATAGATAGATAGATAGATAGATAGATAGATAGATAGATAGATAGATAGATAGATAGATTCACACCCCTCTGGTTTTTTGAACAGGAGTAGAAGTTTCCAGCAAGGATTGTATTTCTTGTTCCTTCTGAAGTTTTCGCATTCTCTTTCACACACAGTAGCCTCTTTCGTCTTAGTGGTATTATCGCCTTCCTTGGTGTGAATTGATTTTATAGATAGATAGGGCATGGCTGATAATGTGTGGAATGAAGTGAAAATACTGGACAGAATCAGAGTATATACTAGGCTATAAGGATCGCCTTAGTAGGCCTAGTATAGAAATAGATACAATATGGGAACCGCTAATAAAGAAAAGTCGAAACATGGGCAGCAGCTATTATAACATGACAGTCGGCAGCAGCAGTTGCAACCTAATCAGCAGCCAGATTAAGTTTAAGGGTTAAAGTTTGCTTCAGCACTACGGCCTAGCGGGTAAAAGCGTTGGTTTGTGAATTTCGTGATATGGCGGTGGTGAGTTCAGTCACTGAGTCGGACAGTGTGTGCTTGCATTCAGTGGAAACGGGCGAACAATAACTGAACAGTACTAAATAAAATAAGAACTGGACTTATAATCCTAGGACGAGAACAAAATGAAAATCAGTCCAGTAAATTAAATAAAGGGTTCGGAATGCCTCGTATTGAGTTACGGAGAGCAACAACAACAATAAATATGGAAATAATAGTCCGGATATAAATAGAGCAAATCGCTAGATATGAATAGATTGTGATAGATATGAAAAGATGAAAGTTTTTTAGCGTTTCTCTTTCAACATTTCTATTTTCTTTACCAACTCAACCCCCTTTATATCTAACTTTCCCATGTATTACTACCCACCTCTTACTTGCTCTATCGTCTAGCAATCTTTCTAACTTGTTGCTCCACATCTCTTTCCCCATCCATCTATCTTTACTAGTCTCTCTCTCTCTTTTTCTCTGTCTCTGTCTCTGTCTGTCTGTCTGTCTGTCTCTCTCTCTCTCTCTCTCTCTCTCTCTCTCTCTCTCTCTTTTCTCCATCCTTATTACTTTTTTATTTTTGATCCTTCCTCTTTTTCATTAAATGAAAAAGTAGAAATTATGGAGCACACTTTTTTCTCTTTCACTCCCTTTCATATTTCCTATCCCATCTCTCTCTCTCTCTCTCTCTCTCTCTCTCTCTCTTTCCCACTATCTCTGTCTACCTATCTATCTATCTATCTATCTATATATCTCTCAGTATCTCTGTCTACCTATCTATCTATCTCTCTCCCACTATATCTATATATCTATCTATCTCCCACTATCTCTGTCTGTCTATCTATCTATCTATCTATCTCCCACTATATCTATCTATCTATCTATCTCTCTCTCTCTCTCTCTCTTTCTCTACATATATATATATATGCATTATATATATATATATATATATATATATATATATATATATATATATATATATATATATATATATATCTTTTTCTTTCTACCTCTTCTCTCTTCTTTTTCTTCATTATTTCCTCTTTTCTCACTTTTTTCTACCTTTTATTTTCCCTGTGAAAGTGAATGTCCGCAAAAGACTCGGGCAGGTGATTATATAACTGCAAACGAAAAACAAAAATCGATGTCTGTCTCAAAAGTCCTTGGGCTCTTGAACTTTTAATATGGAATATAAACATCAGTCGAAATGCAAAACGTGGACATGTTAAACATTAGATTCTGATTATTACTTATAACATTTAATATTCGTCGGCTTTCTAATGCTTTCAGTATTCATTGACCGAACACTAACCACTACTGTCTGTTCAAATTTATAAAGTCTTTTTCTTTACGCTATTTACATTCAGACTATTCTCCTCATTTTTGTTATTGTTATCCCAGCGTTTCGGTCGTTGTGCACGCTGACCTTCAGGTGTATATCGACCCGGGTAACCTACAGGGAATTGTTTTTTTTTTTGTTTTGACCCCTACATACACCCTATTTTCTGTATTTATACCCCAATATTATATTTGATTTATTTTAAATTTGAGGTGTGAATCTGTGTGCAATTTAGCGTTCCTCCCATGAGTCCCAGTGTATATATATATATATATATATATATATATATATATATATATATATATACTAGCGGCGACAGTCTGTTTCATGCTTGGACAAAATTTCAGGTCATGTAGATTGCATTCAAGTCTGAAACAGGCTTTCATATTTATAAATATAGTATAACTATATTTCTATATTCCTATATATATATACATAAAAATATATATATATATATATATATATATATATAATCATTCATTCAAAAAAACAGATATAGAAGTTTTTGTATGAATGATTCATGTAATGTAAATTGAACTGCACCACATACTTGATATATATATATATATATATATATATATATATATATATAAAACCATGTTTATAAATAAATATAACGTTTATCATTCATTAACGATAACCTTTGCAGTGACTTATGCTGTCAGTCTTAAAAAGCTTATATATGATTAATGACTAAAGGAATGTTCTTTTTTTAATGTCTAATAACTTCTGTGATGTTTTGTTAATCTCATATTCACCATTCTTTAATTTTATATTCACAATTGTGAGTTCTATACGTGATACCGGAAAGTGTGTATATGGATTTAACTGTTTTTACTTCTTCATCACCACCTGACTTATCATCCTCAGACTTTTATCTCTTTGATTCAGAGGCACTGGGGGCCAAACGTACAGAAAACGCAGCGAAGATTGAACTCACTACTTAAACGCAATTGATCTAACGAGACAAGCTTTCAATCCATTACACCACATCGAGATGCGTTATCGTTTGAACAGGAGTAGAGGTCTATCCCTTGTTTCATGTTTAGGATTGGGTTTCCGGTTCCTTCTCTTAAATTCTTCTCATTCTCTTACACTCCCAGTAATCCCTTGCGTCTTAGTGGCATTATCCCCTTGCTTGGGTGAAATGATTAAAAATAATTTATTTAGTCGAATTCTAAATTACTGATCAAAGTTTCCGGCAAAATAAATGAAATGCAGAAAATGCGATATGCTTCCAAAGGTGGATGGGGTTATCTTGGACTTGAAAAAGAGTATTTAGATGATTTACATACGGACTATTATCTCCATCTTTGTTGTCATTATCATAATGTTTCGGTCGATGAGCCCTCCGGCCTTCATCAGGTACTTGTCGATCAGAATAATGTTCAGCGAATTTCAAACCGAACCCTTTCTTTAATCTACGCGAGTTGATTGGTCTCATTCGGCTAATTAAGCTTGTGGGGACATTGAAAAGACATAATTAGTAGATTAAAGCATTGCTTCATGAATTTGCTGACGCAGAAACTGTAAGTTCAATCTCCTGGCCGGTCAGTGTGCACTTGGACTAGCCAATCAGTACTAAATTGCTGAAGAGTACTAAATAAGAAGTAGTTGAGATATCCCTAGACATGAGTAGTGGAACGAGAACAATCTACCCCTGTAGATTAAAGGATTCAGTTTGAAATACCCTAAGAGTTACGTTGATCGACAAGTACCCGGTGAAGGCCAGGGGGTCAACTACCGAAATGTTTTGATGATAACATCAAAGATGAGGACATTAGTCCACAAGTAAATAATGTAAATAATGTAAATGATAATTCCTCATCCCAGAAATTCAGAGAGAAGGCGATCAGGTGATAAAAAACAACAAAGATGAGGACAACAGTCCACATGTAAATAATATAAACAATGATAACGCCAGATTCTAGAAATTCAGGCGGAAATTGAAAAAGTTTATTTTCTCATATAAAATATCCAAGTGAACTCTTTTCTAAGTACGAGACAAGATTTGAGATTTGAGATCACGACTTAGCAAGAATTATTTTGCGGAAAGTGTAAAATATTCAGCATTCTTATAGAAAGCAATTCGAAGATTTCACACAATTTCAATATTCGAAAGAATATCAGGCAGACACCAAATATATAAGAAATAGGATGTTATAAGCTGCCATACTATAAATCAAAAGTCAACCATAAATTATTTAAAAGCAAAAAGCTGCTTGCGATACTTTATATTCCATCGCGGTCATTCCCCTCAGTGGTCATTAACCTCAGTGATCATTCCCCTCACTACACATCAAAGTCAATGCTTCTTAACTTTTTAATGTCCTATTTGGAACCGGATAGCATTAATGGACACTAGTTAGAAATTTGTACTTAATAACTGATTTTTATAAACCTATAATTAACATCGTTCTTTTTTTTTTAATTTATATCTGATTTTTATTTTTATTTTTACAATTAATACTGGATTTTACGGTAGACATTAATGTAGGTACCTCCAAAGATTCGCTAGAAAAATGCGCATGCGTGATGAAAAAATGTCCCAAATGTAATAAAAACAAAGTTTTAGCGACAAAATCTTTATTTTATGATTAAGAGGGAAAAAAAGACTTTTTTGATTATTAAATTATATTTTTTCATTCCTTTTTAGAACCCCTAAAATTTTGATTGAAAAGTTTTTTTTTTTGTATCAATAAATTAGTATGGAAAATTTGAGCGTCACTTTGCGATTAATACTAGGTTGGCCAGAAAGTCCTGACACAGTTAAAAAGCGGAAAGAAAACAACAAATTTTGATCTCTGTTTGGTGGAATTTCCAAGGAGTACTGTATTCCAAGCTTGTTCCACGCGGTCGCGCCATCAACACCTAACTGTATTGCCAGCAGTTAGACCACATGTACGACAAACTAAAGAAGGAGTATGTTGCTTTGGTCAGTCGAGGTTGGGTTTTGTTTCAGCAAGGCAATACGAGGCCACATACAGCCCGGTTGACTAAGAAGTTCAAGCAGATGGACTGTGTTGAGATTCTTCCACATCCACCATTCAGTCCCGATGCTGCTCCGATTGACTATGGCCTATTCCGATCGATGGCATACTTCCTCCGCGATCAGCGATTCAAAACTTTTGGTCAAGTGAAGAAAGTGACAGGATCCAAAGAGTGTGCGTTCAGTACCCGGCTAAGGCAGTGGGGAACTTTCAGAGGGAAATTAACAGGCGATAACTGACAACTGACATCCATTAAAACATGGCACGTAGAACTAGAACAGTCTACCCCAGTGATCGAAATAAAGGGTTCAGTTCGACATTCCAACCACCTGAAGAAGGCCGGAGTGTAACAACGGCCGAAACGTTGTAATAAATATGGCAACAAAGATGAGGACAATAGTCCGAATAATTTAAATAATGTACATAATACCTCATCTCAGAAATATAGACAGATAAGTGAAGAAATCTTGTTTACAGTTTTTTGATTCAAAGCAAGAGGATTGGTATCTGGGACAGATTCGGATGCTGGCTGATCGCTGGCAGAAAATCGTCGAGAATAATGGACTTTATTTTGAAGAATAAATGTTGGTGTTGCTCCATAAAATTTTGTTGTTTTCGACCTCCTCTGTGAGTCAGGATTTTCTGTCCAACCTAATACATTGATTTGGAAATTCTTGTAGAAATCAAATAATCGTCGGATTCTAATGAAACTTTCAGGTTTTATTCTCAAATGAACAAAATTATTTTAGAAACGTTTTTTTTTTTTTAGAAAATCTTATTAAAAATGTCTTTACATCTGTTACCCCCACTCCACTTATTTAATTATATGAAAATGCGAATATGAAATTCGTTTTTGTAGAGCTTAATGTTTATATTATGTAAAAAGCAGAAGACTTTAGAAACTCGGGCACCGAGTTACAGAAAACCAGCTCTGAAACGTAAAATAAAAAATACAATAAAACTAAGATATCATTTAATTAGAAAATCTTTTAATTGCTTTTATGAATAAAACATATTATAGACACTATTGCCTTAAGAATTTTTTTTCGATGAAAAATGAATTTTTACATGAACTGTTTGCATTTTTTAATTGTAATTAGAATAATTTATAATGTTTTACATCTTTTAAAATTCTACATTAATATGTAACGTCTAGTTGATGTTATTAAGTAAAATTATATTTACTAATCATAAATGGAAAAGATTACTACAATTCAGCTACCCCCAGTATTTTAACAAGAAATGTATGTGCGCATGTGTGTGTGCGTGTAAATATAGACTTCTATACACGGTGTTTTCAGAAAATAAGGGTGGTAACTATAGTAAACTTAAAATTTATTGGTAATTTTCTAAGATTTCCTCAACAAGCGTCCTCGTAAGTAAGACTATAAGGCAAAAGTACCTAAAACTCAATAATATATTAGATTATTTTAAGTATTTGAAATTTTTAAGATTACTGATTAATTGGAATAGATTTCCCTCTTATCTAAATCCCGCAATCG